AATCCCTGTAACTCTGCTGCAGTGATATTGGATACTAAAATTTTATTTGAGAATACTTCTTCCTCTCTTAACTTTTAGTTTTTATGTCTTTTTATTATTTTAAAAATATATAAAATATTAATTAAAATAAATATTAAATATATTTTATATATGTTATATATTTTTAAATTATGAAATATCTGAAAAACCTAAAACTGCCAGTATTGTCAAACTAAGATGCGCACCTTCATAATCCAGGTAGCCAGTATTGACATTCGGAAAGCATTATCAGCAGCCACATGTTGCCTTCATGTTCCACTAACTGCATCGTCGTGACGTTAAGAAAACCGATAAATAAAGTAAAAGGCTCCTAACACTAAAAATTTATGCTGCCATAACAGAACATAACCACTTTCAAGAATGAATTATAATACAACTCAGCCTTGTCACGTAACCCAACCATGACAGCCTTCAGGATTTACAGTAAACATTAAAATCCTTATAACTCTGCAGCAATGATATTTGACATTAAAGCAATATGACATTATGACTTTCATAATCCATATAGCCTATTGACATTTACAAAGCATAATCAGCAGTGAGATATTCATAAAAATAATAATAATAATAATAATTAATAAAAATCAGCAGCCAGATGTCGCCTTTATGTATCACTAGCTGTGCAAGCATCATGACATTCAATAAAACCAAGAAAGCTGAAGACTCCTAAAACTAGAATGTAATGCGGCCATAACAGAACATAATCAATTTCAAGACTGAGTTATCATACTACTCATTATTCTCACAGAACTAGCGTACTCGAGAATTAACCTGTGTGTCTAATATGCATTTGTTCTCGCTGCGTACCGCAATATATTTTAGCCATATAAAAACACAGCAGAAGAAATTTAGATGTCAGAATTTATGGGAGTTAAGCAAGGGGCAATTTAATAACTGAAGAAGAGACATGGCATCTTGTCAAAGGCAAACACATTCACATTCATTAATCATAGTCGCTAATCTTACAGAATAAGTGTGAAATGAGGATACATTAATCATTCACACCCTTAAAATCTGAAGCTTGGAAGAAAACGCAATGGCAACCCAATCGGGCTGCGAGGAGGACTACTGCGGCTGCTCAATCTCAGCCCCTGCAGCAAGGAAATGGAGAGCACTCGGGTTTCGGCAAGGAGCGCGGCAGCAAGGAAAGACAGTGGCTACAGACAGCGGCAAGGACACAGGTATGGTTTTGCAGGCGACTACCGTCAGCGGCAAGGATACAGGCATGGTTCTACAGGTTCTAGTGCACAGTCCTTCGGAGGGTCAACGACATTCTTCTTTTATAATTTTCCAGAGGAATTGGAGGCAAAATTCCTATGGAACAGCTTTCAGATGTACGGCAGGGTGGTTGATGTGTACCTTCCGAGCAAACGAGATAAGAGAGGGAAGAGGTATGGTTTTGTGCAGCTAACAGGGGTAAAGGATGAGTTTCAAATGGAGAGGAGGCTGAATGAGATGTGGATTGGATCGTATAAGATGAGAGTAAAGATTGCAAATGCCAGACAGAGGAAAACTTCAACGCCCAGGAAGGTTCAAGGCGTGCCTAAAGTCAATGGATCAAAATGCAGCATGAATAGATTGGTTCAACCAGGGCATTCATATGCACAAGCAGTGAAGGGACAAGGAAAAAGGGCAGATAAGGTAGCAGAACAACTTCAGGAAAAGGAAAAAGAAGCAGCCCCGGAAAAGGAAGTTGTCAAAACATGGCTACAGGAAAATATGGATGTAGAAAAAACAGAGGAGACTATTGAATACACCCCAATGAGAGAAGAGCTGCAATGGCTTGAGGGTGGCATGGTGGCAGTGGTGAGGTCAATGGCGCTGGTGCCCGAGATTCAAGAGCAAATGGATGCTGATGGAGGCTCAATCTCGTTAACACCAATTGGGGGTAGACGGATGCTTCTAACTAAAAGAGTTGCAGGGTCTTTATCCGATTATATGAAGCACAATCAGGAGTTGTTTGGATTGTGGTTTGAATCTATAAAACCATGGGAGATGGCACCAGAGGAGAAAAGCCGAATGATGTGGGTACGAATTTCGGGAGTGCCATTAAAGGCATGGGGTGAAAGGTGTTTTCAGATGATAGGCGAGACAATCGGAGAAGTTTTGATGGTTCATGAGGATACAAAGAAGAAATCCATTCTATGGGATGGGAGAGTACTGATTTTATGCTCGGATTCTAGTAAAATCTCAAAACAAGCTAAGTTGAAGGTGGAAGAGTAAGTGTACGAGATAGAGATAATTGAAGAGGAATGGCGCTCCGATCCGGATTGGTGGCTATCGGAGAATGACCGGAGAAGTGACTTGGAAACAGAGTCCGAATACTCAAACTCGTGGTGTCAGAATGAGGATCAAGAACTGGATACGGATGTGATGTGCGACGGCGAGGATTCAAATAACGGGTCAGAGCATTTAATGAAGGATTTGGTTTCAATTTCAAAACTGGAGATGGCAACGGTAACGGAGAAATGTAATCAAGTTGTGAAAGAGACAGAGTTGGAAGGGGAAGCAAGCCTTGGGCTGTCCGAGGAAGCTGGGCCACAAAGGCTGAGTTGTGTTGGGCTAGAAGAAAACAGTGGGCTGTCTAATAGGATGGGCTGGGGACAGATCAAGGAAATGAGCATAGAGGAGCCCATTTTACATGCTCAAAACCAGACGGATTCACCGTCAATACAGAAATCAGAAAACTCAAAGAAGGTGAGCAAAAAACAGAGGCTTCTCAAAGAGTGTTATCCAGAGAGCATGGAGGAGATCTGGGCAAAAGCAGCACCGAGAGTTACACCAAGAACAAGGCAGCGACAGGAACGGAGAGAGGGAACCGGCCAAGCTGGGGATGAAAAGGTATGCAACGCTGCTGCTGTTTCTATTTCAGATGGGTGTATTGTAAATAGAAATAGGGTGTTGCAGAGGGAGATGAACATGCATGAGGTGCGCCGGATGATGGGGGTGGGGAAGAGATTGGGTTTTAATTTTGAGAATGATGAAGAAGAGATTCAATCAAAGTTACTAGAGATTATAGATCGAGAAGGGGCAAGGCGGAAGGACGCGTCGGGGTTGTAAGGGTGTTTGTGTCGAACGGAGGTTGTGCGATTAGTATTGATTTATGAAATTTATATCTTTTAATATAAGGGGCTTGGGTGGGTCGCTGAAAAAGAAGGAAGTGAGAAGGCTCGTTACGGAAGAGAAGCCCGATTTTCTTTTCCTGCAGGAAACAAAGTTGGAAAAGGTGGATGTAGATATCTATAGCCAGTTATGGAGTTCAGATGAGTTAGGTTGGGTTGCGAAGGGCTCGGCTGGAGCCTCAGGGGGATTACTATGTATATGGGACAGGCGACACTTTGTTAAGAGGGAAGAATTTATTGGAGATGGATTCGTGGGAATTTCAGGGGAATGGAGAGCAAATAAACAGCAGTATTTTTTAGTAAACGTGTATGGCCCTAAGGATAGACAGAAAAAGGCTAGTTTGTGGAAGGAGCTGAGGAGAATGGTGACAGACAAGGAGGGATGTTGGTTGATAGCAGGGGATTTCAATGCAGTGAGAGAACCTGGGGAGAGACGAGGAAGAACAGGAGAGAGCCCGGTCATGAAAGACTTTGATGAGTTTATTGTGTCAACGGATTTGGTGGATGTCAAATTGACAAATCGAAGGTATACATGGTACAAGCCAGATGGTACAGCAAGGAGTAGATTGGACAGATTTTTAATGAGTACTGAGATGAGTAATTTGGAAGGGGAGTGGATACAACAAGGATTGCCAAGGAATATCTCTGATCACTGTGCAATTGTGTTGAAGTCCAGATCAGCAGATTGGGGACCAAGACCTTTCCGGGTTTTGGACGCATGGCAACAACATCCAGATTTCAAGAAGTTTGTAGAAGATAAATGGAAGGAGATGGAGGTGGAGGGTTTTGCAGGGTATAAATGCCAGAAAAAGCTGAAATTGCTCAAAGGATTCTTAAAAGGTTGGAACAAGGAAGTCTTTGGAAATATGGACACTCAATATGAACAGGCTGTAAAGAAGATTGAGCAGGTTGACATGCAGAATGAGATATCTGATCTGGAAGATGCTGAGATTGTGAAGAGGCAAGAAGGCTTCTCTGAGATGTGGGATGTTTTGAGAAAGAAGGAACTTATATGGAAGCAGAAATCAAGAAGTAAATGGGTGCGTGAGGGAGATGCAAATACCCGTTTTTTTCATAGAGTCGCAAAAGGAAGAAGGGCACATAATAATATTGCGGGTTTAATGTGTGAAGGGGCATGGATTGATGATCCAAATTTAGTAAAAAATGAGGTCTGCAGATATTTTAGAAGCCTGTTTCAAGGAGAGTCATGGAATAGACCCAAGCCGGGGGATATTAGATTCCACCAGATCTCTGAGGAGAAAAAGGATTGGCTAGAAAGACCTTTTTCAGTTGAAGAAATCGAGGAAGGGTTAAGGAGCTGTGATGGTTCAAAGGCACCGGGACCTGACGGGTTCAATTTCAACTTCCTAAAATTTGCGTGGCACTGCATAAAGGAGGATTTCATCAATTTCTTTTCTGAATTCCATCGTAATGGTAAATTGGTGAGGGGACTAAATTCATCTTTTATAGCCCTGATCCCTAAAAAATTGAATGCTGGGGGACTAAAGGATTATAGACCCATTAGCTTGATAGGATGTGTCTATAAATTATTAGCGAAGGTGCTGGCAAATAGATTGAAATCTGTGGTAGCAGAAATAGTGAGTGAAACGCAATCTGCCTTTGTGGGG